CCCTTTGCCACTTGACTGTGGGGGGGGGGGGGCACAAACATGGTCACTTAAGCCTTTCTTACAACAGTAAGTGAAGACTTGCTCATATTTTGTGAAGCTGGTGTTCTAACTGAAGGCCTCATTAAAAAATAGGTTTATTATATAGTAGAGCTGCTTTTAAAGGTCTGTACTGAGTCACCTAGAATCATCATAATTTATTACCACAATTTTTGTCCACAAAAATGTGAAACTCATAACTAAAGATAGACAAGTCTTTTGAAGTGTGTTTTAATGTAGATTTTTCTGTGCACGTGTTGGGTCTGCATGCTGATTATCCACATATTGAACAGCCATTAAGTACTTACTGGCAAATGCAGATGATGCTGGTACAGTCACTGGACTTCACAACCTGCTTTTTTGAGAGATGCCCGAGTCCAAGGTTGCAAAGGAGTTGCAACTTGTTGTGCTTTGCTCATGTTTTTAAAATGAGCCTGTTAAGTTCTTAGTATAAGTTAAGGCCTTTATTTTCTCTTTGAAGTTTCTATTAGCACTTAGGGAAGAGAGGAGGCAATGAACAAAGAGCTAAAACCTGTGAGCAACCTACACCTCGGAAATTGCTTCAGCTTCTAAACTTAAATGTCAGCTTTTGTGTCTTATTTTTAGCTCTTTCAGAAGCAATGTTGTGTGTACAAATAAATACCTTTAATTGCTTGTGATTATCTACATAGTGGTTTTGTCATCAGTCAAACAAGGTGAATATAATAACTTATTTTCTGTTGGTAATAGCTGGGTGAACCTGAGTTGCATTTGGCAACCTGGCTGACTGGCAGGGCTTGGGTTTGCATGCAGTTGTTCTGCTATGACTGTGTGCTAGTGTGCCTCAAGCTGTCCACAGTAGCTGAATGTATGCCTGTAGCCCATGTCAAACCCAAAGTAAAATGTCTTGGTTTAAGCCTTTTTGGTTGGGATTTAACCCAGTATGGCTTGCCTTCTAGATGGTGGCGTGATGGAGAATTACTTTCTAAATAAGGATGGCTAAAAATGAGGTTGGGCTGAAAGGAGATTCTTAACCAAACTGCTTTCCAGATAACTATGGAAATGGAAACATTACAAAATGCTTGTGAGCAGAAGTCCCATGACAATTGTTGTTACTGTTAAATAACAAATGTCAGATTAGGTTGGTGGCAAAACAAGAGTTAGATGGTATTTTCCAAGTTGACACCATTCTTATCAAACAGTGTTTAGGTAAGGGCAGGGGAGGGACACTACCCCCCAAACCAGTGAAAACTAACCACTGCTTACCTGCTTATCTAAGTAATGTGAGTAATTACTGAAACTGAAGCTTTAAACAGCCTAATTTGCTTCATTAATATTTTTAAAAGTAAAAGAGTGTTATCTGCAGGTTACAGAAATGTGCCACTGCCTCTTTCATTGGCAGTTGTTTAAGGGAGCACAGTGTGAACAAAGCAGAGTTTCTGTGGGACTGGTCGATGCTGTTGTATGTTTTGAACCGTAGCAACCTGTCATCAAAGGATGGTTAGGTAAGAAGGTGGTGAAGCAGGATTTCTGTATGCAACATTCCTGGGATTTTTATGAAACACCCGCAATGTTTCTGTAAGACTTGAGTAATTGGGAAAGGGCTGTTACTCCAAATCTGTTTGATCTGTTGTGGCAAGCTGGAAGCATACCTTGAGGAGTGCAGAACTCATTGAATGATCATTCTCCTACACCTGAGAAAGGACCGAGGCTTTTGAAATGACTCTCATGCCAAGAAGCCTCTGCTGAGGCGCACATCTCTACAATGGAGGACTGTGATGGAGGGTGTCCAGGGTTGCAGAGCAAAGCCTGTGCTCTGCTGCATTTGCAGAGGGACAGTTGGTTGAGACTTGAGCTGGGACTGCCTCGAGGCTTTGTGGTGCAGTGTGGCTGCATGGGTCAGGTAGTGCTGAAAGCTAGTGGGGCACTAGCTTTGTTAAGATATCAAGGCATTATCAAGATCATTTACCAGGGTTAGTCCTTCAGGTCCCCACTTGATCTCCCCCTGGTGCAAATCAGGTGTCCTTGTCATCAGTGTGCCTTGTCTTTGCAGCAGGGCCTGGTTTGCTGGCCATGGCATGCTGGTTGTAGCAGACAGCAGCATGCAGAAGGGTGCCTTTTTTCTGCTTTGTTTGTTATTGCATTCTCCAGCTATTCTGCACGTGCATCTGTAAATCAGCTCCCTTTCTTTTAAAGCCTTGTTCTGTAATAGTAAAGTCTCTCAGGTGTGGTATCAGGTAAGAAAAGACGGATGAGTCCTCTGTTGTTTAGGTCAGATCTTTATCTCCTATTTCAATATTTTCTTTAGAAAAGAGACCTTACTGAGATTTCTCCTGTGCTACCTTCAGAGCAGTTGGTTATTAAACTGCCCTTTCTGTCATAGCTTTATTTAAAAATCCACTCTCTGTTAGTAATTGAGCAGAAGAGACTTTCTGAGCAGCGTGACATGGAAGTAGGCTTCTCCAGGAGCACAGGGAAGGCAGGGGCAGTTCACCATCTTCGTGCACCTTACAATTAATCATGGGAAGCTATGTGTGTAAGCAAAATCTGTGGTCTGTTCTGATCCCTCAGAGACAGTGGTGTTAAGCACAGACTGCCATGAGATTTCTGAATGAAAAAGCATACAAGTCAGTCCCTCAGAGCATCATGACTATCTGTCCTTACAGTGCATTGTTCAGCAAGGCTGAAGACCTCCAAGAGATGCTATAATAAATGTTTTTCAGTGTAGCACGGGATTAGCTTGTTCTCAGCTGTTGCAAGCTGGCGTAACTCCCATTAAATCAGTGGAACAGTGCCGATCTGCTAATCTGATGACCTGATCTCCTCTCTCAGTGGGGTGCAAAGCAGTACAAAAACTTAAAAACACCATCGTAAGATATAAACTGTTAATGAAACTTCTGGTTTTATAGCTAATAGCTCTGCCTTCCCAGCTCTCAGAACAGCATGTGACTTTAGTGTATGTCTAGTTCTCCTTTAATGCTTAATATAGAAATTTAAGTAATTATTCATTTGATCTCTTGGTCCATTTTGTTGTTTGCAATAGAAGCCATGACTCTCTCTGACAAGGTTAATCTTCAGTAGCTTTGGTGGTTTACGTGTACCAAATTAATTTTGCCTTAATTTTTATTCTTCTGAGTTTTGAGAAGCATGATTGTTTGTTTCCTCTTAGGGACAGACAGCAGGGACATGTGCAATATCTGAAACGCTCAGAGATGTTTTGAAGAACCTCTTTAGCTCAGTTTCTCCATCTGTAGTGTTGAGTACAAGGCCTACAGATATAAAGGAGGTCCAGGTAAGTCTTATTCCTACCTAAATCTTTTGAGAAGTCTCCTTCTGTTTAGTGTTTTTATTATATATTCATGACTCACAAATAAGTAAGTTTAATACCATTTGGTGATCAGAAACAACTGGAACACATTCTTTAAAACAACATAGCCTTTGGCAGTGAAGGCTTTGTGTGATCATAACTCCCGTGTGACTATCTGTTGATGTTACACCTCATCACACGTCTGCTTGCCTATATCAGTGTGACAGAAGGTAAGAGTATTTGGTATTTGCATATGTACAATCCCTCTTGCTTTTCTTGCTTTTCACAGAATGTACAGAACGTAAGCCTTCTCCCTCAGGGCACTAGTCCCCCTAAACCTCCAAGGGCTCATGAACTCAAACTGCTGGTGAAGAACATCGCGGTAAACCTAACTGATCACAGTGCTGCAGGTAACGTAGCCCTTGCAATGCTGCTCGTTTTCAAGCAGGGTTGGGTTGTTTTTTTTTTTCATTTTGACTGAAATAATTTGGAAGTTCTGGGTTACAACCTTCTCTCAAAAGAAGGTGTAAGAAATTGCTGCACTCTCAGAAACATGCTTTTACAAAACTGTGTATGTTTTTGTTTATTTGAGTATTAAAACATCTTGATCTTCTTGTAAACAAATACACCATTTTTGGAAACAAATTGAAATGAGCATATTTATAAAGTTAGTTGATTTATTTTCTGGCATTTAGTTTTAGTTCCTAAAAGTTATCAATTTCCCTGTACCCAAGATGTGAGGCTCAAATCCGACTCTCCATTCACCGTTAGCAGTGACATTGTTTTGGTATTACCTTATTTTTACAGCTGCTTTTCTTTACTTTTGAGCAATTTGCTGATTTATCTAAAAATCTCCTCCTCAGTGTAAACTCTCCTCAAAGGTGGTGTTTTGTTGGCGGGGATATTTCCACCCTAACAAAGTACCTCTGCAGGTAGGGAGGGAGTACCTCTTGCAATTAGAGAATGAAGCCAGAAAGGAGGCCACTGCCTAGTGAAGTTGCAATGTTGGTTTTAAAAAGAAGCACCAAGCCTGCTAGCAAGTCTTCAGACTTCTTCAAGTGCAGGCACGCCTGCATCACTGATTGAGGCATGAGCAAGCATATTTCAGATTTTGTCAGCGGAAATACAAATTTGAGGTTCTATTATTTATGGTCACTAATAGTCTTTTTAATGAAAGCTTGTGGCTGCTAAATTGGGCATGGCAGTAGTTTTGGATAAGTATATCCTACTTGCTATACTCCTTTTTTCAGTTAGATGGAATAGGTTTCTGCCCCAGACTCTTGCAGAATGCTGCTTTGCTCATCCTGGTTGGAAGTGGTTCCCCATAAAACTTTCTGCAGACTGTTTTATTTTAAAAACAAATTATTTTTAAAGCAGTTCTGGAACTCTTGACAGTGAAATGTCCTATATAAAAATGTCCTATATAAATAAAACTGTGCTGAAAACTGTAGATTGCAGGAAAACTTACTCAAAATTTGTTATTACTCCACAATTTTGTGGTGCAAACTAAGCTTTTCAAAAGAGCAGATCATTTTGGCCTCCTTTAAAACTTAGGAGATAAGATACTTTTACGTGCATATGGTGCATGCAACAGATAATTAATATTATTATGGGAAGCCTTTATGCCCCCTCTGTGAAAATGAGAGGAAGAGGGAACAAATAATGTGCTCCACTTTGGGAACCCAGATATTGAGGGGCAAAATCACCATTTGCTCATCTAAAAGGAGATGGAGGGAACTTTTGCTGGTTCCCTAGCAACTCTGGGAGTGTAATCACTTTGGAACCAAGTATGAAATAAAGCTTCATAGTGAGGTTTGGCTGGTACACTTGAAATCCAGTGGAAATACGGCACAGCTGGGGCGATGCTAGGTTCTGGACATAGCTTGCTGCCTTTTAACTGTTGTTCCCTTCCTTTTTCCTGGCCTTGTGTTGCAGCAGTTATTAGTTCTGCTGTTGCAACTGTGAAACTCTGTAAGAGTGTGCAATATTGCAAGCCAACCTGCAGAGACATACAGAGGATTGGGGACAGGCGGCGTGTCTGTCTTGATCATTATCATCCTATAAACTGTCGATGCTAACATGGTTTATAGGAGCTTGTGGCTTTCCTGTAGATGTATTAGTTCAACTGGTAAGTGACCAGTAGCAGAACTGGCCTCTGCTTGTTGGCTATGCCCATTTTTATCTCCTTAGTTTGTATGTGTAAACAAAGATTACCCTGAATTTAGTACTGTATGGTCCACAGTGTATCATCTAGGGTAAAAGTTGATTTCTGCTGTTAAGGAAAAATGGTTAGTTGTGTACACTAGGTTGTGAGGGACAGAAATTATGAAATTCCTTGTTCAATATCTGTTGGTCAGTGGCTCTGGTGTAATTTCAGGCAGAGCTATACAGGCATTTCTGGCCCAGGCTGCTGAGCCCTGCTGGCAGCAAGAGCAGGCTGCAGAGACATATGGCTGGGTTAACAGAAAACCGCCCCAGGTTCATTAACTCAGGCTCAGCATGCTGTGAAAGCAGCTAAACTACTTACTCCAGGGTTAGCTTTGATCCCAACTAAGCTGCCAGTAGACAGTGCTTTATCTCCTCTAGTAACCTTGCCAGGTCCAAGCTGCCTCTGTGCCTGAGATAGGGCTCATCCCCAGCCCCCGTGCACCACCAGAGGACAACTGAGAGTTGATGATAGTAAATATAAACCTAGAGTCTTCTGGAGAACTGGGGTCTGCATGTCTTTTGTTTGCTTTGCACACAGTCATTACTGAGCTTTTTGCCGCTTTCCTGGATATTTTGAAATGCTGGGACCAAAATGATTTCTGATGCTGTGAAAGCCATGCAAAATAAATTGTTTAAAGAGTAACACATTATGCAAACTATTTCCCCTTGGAGCAGCAATATAATTGCTCTAATATGCCAATTTGCCATGCTATCAAATTTCAAGATCAAGGTAGAGATAATTCTGCACCACTACTCTAAAATGCCATGAACTTGTTAAAAACCGCAGTCCACAAAGCCATTGTTAATTAGCACTACTGTCATCGTACACTTGCTAACAGAAAAAGCTTGCTTTGATGTCCAAAGAAAGCACTGTGACCATGGCCAGTAGGAACTTTGAAAATGTGTGGTTTTTTTAAAGCAGTTGAAAGCAACTTCACTCCCTTCTCACCTTGTCTCCACTCTACCATGATCTTGCTGTTCATCCTGTCTCCCCGTCCTTTTTGATCTTTTTATGCCTGTTTTTTTTTGCTTCATGCCAGAATTTAAATCGGGTCATCATGTTTCACACTGTGTAGAACACTGCGTAGGACAATAATGACCCAGTCTTGACCATCGACGTTAGTATAGATGGCGTACAAGCTGAAGAGAGGGAAGAAATTTATTCTTTGGGTGGGTGAGGAAATGTTTCCAGTAGTCTGTTCAAAAGTGCAGTATGGTGAGGAAGGGTGTTTGCTTTCTGTTGAGTAAGTGTACATCCTGGTGATGGAATATTAATAACTGGATATTGATTTTTCTTGCCCTTACAGGCAGCACAAACCTTGCATGTATAGTTCAGTTGAATGATCCTATGCAGAAGTTTTCCAGCTCTGTAGCCAAAAATGCTGCAAATCCCTTCTGGAAGGAAGAGTTTATCTTGTAAGTAACTTACCTAGTGAGAATACTTTTATAGTAAAGCATCTTTTTTGCTTAAACTAGGTGAGGTTAGCAATCTGGAGCTGGTAGGGACTTCAGGATATCTAATTACCCCTCTATATGAATATAAGATCAAATAGGTCTCTAGATCTTCCCTGGTAGATGTCTGATTCTAATAAATATAACAGGTATAATAAATCACCTTGTGCTGTCATACAGTGATAAAAAATAGCGTTAGCAAGGTTTTGAAGTCACTTTACCTTACACACTGCATTTGAGGAAATTCGATGTATCTCCCTTCCCTCCCCTGAGTGGGACCTGTAAATATGCAAAAAATTGACCATCTAAAAGAATGGTGGGTATGATTAAAAAGAAAGTGTAAAGCTAATGAGATTTTTTTTTCTGTAAAACAAAAATGGGACTTTTGGACAGTGTGTATAGTATTATGTGATTTACATAGCTTCTGTAAATAAGGTCAAAAGTGAGCAGTTCTAAAGCTCTTTTCATTTCCACTTTCTAGCGGCACAGCAGAAATATCTGGTAGCTTCTGTATTGTGTGAGTTGTGAAAGGAGGAGCCAGGGTGGGTCAGAGGGGTATTTCTCTAGTGGCTTTAAACACACGCACAGGCAGGCAGAAGCAGCTTCCCAGGGAAATGGGGCAGAGATGCTGCCATGCAACATAGAGCAGAGACTTATTTCTTTTTCTTCTACCAGGTTATTAACGTGAGAGGCTCTCATCTAAGTTCCATTCCTCTCTCTCTGCCTCTCTCTCACTAACAAATATATATATTTCAGAGAGTAGTATTTCAGTTGGTTTCACTTGTGATGTTTTTCTTCACTGTCTAGTCACAGCCTGGCATCTGCTGTTTCTGTTCCCTCTCTTGCAAAGCAGAGGTTTAACTTACAAAGCACTGAGCCTGTATTCAGACCTGTGCCTGTCTGTGCTGAGTGCTCTCTTCTTCAAGGAGTGGTGTACACCTCTGCGTGCTCCTTCTCAACGTGAAGGGGGAGCAAGCATGCAGCACACAGATCTTTTTCTGGCTCCTCATCGCAGTCTGCTAGACTGCACCTGGGAATGTTATGGACTGTGTGCTGCAGAAACGGGAGAGTTGAGGGAGAAGTGACAGGGGCTGCTTGATTTGATGGAAGGCACCAGGATCGGTCATCGAAAGTTCTACAGGACTTGACGAACACTGGACCCCTTTGCGTGTGTGAGTGCAGGGGGTGGAGATAATTTGAAGTCACTATAGTGAGCAAAAAAAAAAGTGATGTTGTATAACAACACTGAAAGGCCTCACCTTTTTATGTGGTCTGATGGAGGTGTGTGCACCTGCTTCTTTCTCATCCTGCTGTCAAGTGGAAAAGCAGCTAGGAAGCTCTCTTCCTTCAGACCCATGCAGTCCAACGACTTATGAAGTCTGATTTTAGTTATGAGGACCTACAGCTTTTGTGGAGAGCCACAGATCAGACAGTGTTCTTCTGTGACAGTGTACTGCTTTGCCATCAAGACTTAAGGGTTAATGTGATGCGATTTCTTCCCCACCGTAAGAGGGGAAAAAAATGCCCTTGTGTAGCAACTTTATATTCTGGAGTATCGGAGTATCTCAAAGTGCTTCAGCCACTGAGTCTGTGAATCACTTCAGCTATCTGTTGTTGGAACAGCATCCATGCTTGATGTCACAGGGCAGGCATGTTCCAAACAATTTTGGACAGGAAGCATGAAGAACAATACCCTTTCCAACTGAAAGTGCAGAGGGAGGGCAGGCAGGATGTGATTAACTTGACTAAAATTTGGCCTTGATGCTAGGGATAATGCTGGGTTTTCCACAGCGCTGGCTGCTTTTCAGAAGTGCATGAGGTAAGTTTAGGGACTTTCACAGATGAGCGATCAGGATTTGGCCGCATACCTTCTTTCAAGTTCACATCGCCCCACTCCCGTCTCTTTCTTCCTAAACAAAAATACCCACCAGTCTGAAGAGCAGTGTACTGACTGACTGACCACCACGTCAGGCTCTGCTTTAGCTTCACAGAATCACAGAATGTTAGAGATTGGAAGGGACCTCGAAAGATCATCTAGTCCAATCCCCCTGCCGGAGCAGGACACCTAGATCAGATCACACAGGAACGCATCCAGGCGGGCTTTGAGTGTCTCCAGAGAAGGAGACTCCACAACCTCTCTGGGCAGCCTGTTCCAGTGCTCTGTCACCCTCACCGTGAAGAAGTTTTTCCTCATATTCAAGTGGAACCTCCTATGTTCCAGCTTGAACCCATTGCCCCTTGTCCTATCACTAGATGTCACAGAGAAGAGCCTGGCTCCATCCTCCTGACACTCACCCTTCACGTATTTATAGACATTAATTAGGTCACCCCTCAGTCTCCTCTTTTCCAAACTGAAGAGACCCAGCTCCCTCAGCCTTTCCTCATAAGGGAGATGCTCCATTCCCTTCATCATCTTTGTGGCTCTGCGCTGGACTCTCTCTAGCAGTTCCCTGTCCCTCTTGAACTGAGGGGCCCAGAACTGGACACAATATTCCAGATGCGGTCTCACCAGGGCAGAGTAGAGGGGGAGGAAAACCTCTCTGGACCTACTGACCACCCCCCTTCTGATACACCCCAGGATGCCATTGGCCTTCTTGGCCACGAGGGCACAGTGGCTTCAGTGGCACAGCTTCCTGGGAAAAGCAGCAATAGTACTATCAAGGTGCTTCCTTTCAAGTTTTGGAGGAGCAGGAGGGGATGGTAGTGGCAGGGAAAAGTTTAAAACCTGCTGCATAGATGATGTCCCACAGCATCTAATGGAGGAGGAATGCCTGCAACCAAGATAACACCATCCTGAAACGGAGACATACAAAAATATAATACATATATGTGTACGCTTAAGGTTTTTGGCAGAACACCTACTGAGAAGGTTATAAAATCAAGTTTTACTGGAAGGCTCTTCAGTAGATACCCAGTTTGTTTCACTGTCTCAATTAGGGGAAAGGTTTTTTATCTGTTGTCTAGTCCATCTTATGAAGTACCACATAAGCCACTGCTAATAGTGCACATTGGTTCTGTCACACAGAAGCTAGTTCTTGTTATCTTGCAACATCCTTGAGTCTTCTTTTGGAAAAGTAATACTGACTATTCTCACATAAGACCGTAACTACCTTTATTTACTTGCATCTATCCTGCTTTTGCAGGAGACTCCTGCTTTGACAGGATATCCCACAGCTTTGAATGGGTTGTTGGTTGGACCTGTTCCAGCCTCTTGACTTACAAATTTGATCCTGCCAGGAAAAAATAGCTTCTTAGTGCTGTAGTGCAGCAGTTGGACTAGGAACCAACATCAGCTTGAAGGACAGTGTTTCTCAGCTACTGGGGAGAAGAAAAGCCTCTGAAATTTTAGGAAATTGAACTTGTGCAACAGTGCTGGAGGGAACCAGGCCGTGGTTTTCTGACTGTGATCCCTTAAGTCAGTCTTACCTGAGGTGAAATGGATGCTACGCACGCAGCGTACTCAGTAGTGCTGCCATGTCGCACTGCCTGGCTCAGTGCAGGCCAAGAAGAGTTAGGGTGTTGGCAACCAGAACGGGAAAGGGGAAGACCTAAGTGGGAAGGAAAATCTGCTGGCCTGCGAAGACCTAACATAGTTTCATTTACTTCACAGTGAACTAAGTGCCAAATCAAAAGCATTGCAACTGCAAATAGTAGAAGATGGAAAGTTGGATAGTAAGTATTAAAACTGAATTATTTTGCATGATCAGCTCATGAGCATTGCTAAATGTTGACATAAGTCCTTTTTTAGTTCTACTCGGTTGTATAGCCATATAACAAACTCTTAAATTTCTGAACCTGCATTAAAATGTAGATGTCTTATGCTGACTTGTCTGGTATTGGAATTGGGTATGCCTCAAGCATGGCTCCAGGCAGACCTGGGGCGAAGAACAGCTATGGAAGGGAGATTAACTGAAAACAGACAGACAAACTTGTACAAAATGGTCAGCTTGGGAAAATGTGCAACTTAAGTTTGTGTTTTTCAACTCCATAAGCCTGTCATTAAATTTTTGTCCTAGAGTTGAAATCCATGGAAAATCGCAGAGTTCTTGGGCAACACTGACTGACCTGGGTTAAGTGCTGTCTATGTACACCATTACTTTCATCAGTAGTCATGGACAGAAGAGAGTATACACTGTTCACATGTCTCTGTCCTCAGAGTTAAGGTTACAGATAAGTCTTGAGTTCCTTTCTAGACTGGCAACATCCTGAGTCTTCCATGTGCTGATATCCTAATTTTTGAGCCTTCTAAACTTTTAACCGATCCACCATGAGCAATTTTGGTTTCAACTTAAGCTTTCCAGGTCTTCCTGTGGCTGAAGGGGAGTCATGGGTGTTAATCCTAAATATTTCTTTTTCAAGCCCCAGAGGCTGCCTAGCGATTACCAGGTATAAAACACAGTAATTCTGATTCTATTGAATTAAATGTAAAACATGGAGGCTGAATAATTTTTACCACTTGGTTCTGTTTTTGCAATTTGCAATTAGCCTTCAGTGGTAAGAAAACCCCTCCACTGAACTATTGCATTTGGATTATTTGGGGTAGCATTACCTTCCTAGTAGGGGGTAAGAGGTAGGTGGGTGCTGAGGCCAGAGTGCACATTGAGGTGTTTGCATGAGCTTTACAAACTTGCTCCAAGTACTTCGTTGCTTGGACTTTATTGAAGTGATGACACAACATCATAAATTCTTCTACATATTATTTTGCTTATTATTATGCTGCATATTATTTTGCTGATACAGAGTTTTGCTGTTGCTAGAAATAGTAACTGTATTTCACCTCTTGGATCCATTTGCTTTTTCCTTCTTATGTCAGGTTTCAGGTGTAAAACAAAAAAAAAAGAAACATTACTTTTTGACACTCAGCTATTTCTCTGTGTTTCATTACTGTCAGTTGTATTCAACTTAGTTCAGGAAAAAGTTAAAAGTATTAGCCAAAGCTCTTCATGCCCAGTGATTAAAAAAATAGTGCTTTTACTCATAGTGTCTTATAATACTGGATGAAGGCTTGGCCAGTAATTTATTAGGTAACTATGTTTCATCTGAGTCCCTGTTAATAAGTAATATCACCAAGTGGACTGTGTTTGATTTTTAGTTTTGGGTTACTGTGTTTATTTTTAATAATCTAGATGTGCAAAGTTGGTGCAATACCTTGCATATGATCTGCCATTATTTGAGGGATTGGGAAGTCAAATGTAAGCAAATGCTTTAAAAAATTCCTCTGATGTGGATGCTGATTTTTTATTTTTAACAAAAAAATAGGATCTATATACAGTCAGCAAATGTATATTGTTTCTTGTGTCTTTAGTAACGGGTCTTTCAGACGATACGAGTAATGTTCCAAATCCTACTGAGAGTGTAACTACCAGCCTGGTTTTTTGAAGAAAAAGGTCCCAATTGGTTGCACTGACAATCATCTTTCCTCCACCATACCATGTTAGCTGTTCTCCCAAAAATTTGAATAGAGAACTCAAAGTAGAATGATATTAGCAGGGAGAGAGATGGGTTATGTGAATAAAATGTAGGTCTCTACATGTCTTTGAATTTCGCAGAAAACTAGGATTTCATCTCTGAAATGGTGCAGTAATTTTGATAATAGTTTTGCTGCAGCCTAGTGTATTTAATAAAGTACAGGGAGGAACAAGGGAACTGCTGAACTTGCACTGAAGTTCAAATTAAGAAAGACTATTCTTAATGCTATACCAGTTCATCAGGAATCCAGAGTGTTCTCTGAAATGAAAGATGCAGGTAACTGGTTATAGAGATTGTTCAAGAACCGAATAGTAATACTTCTAGGTGCTTTCTTTTCCTCTAAGCATTCTGCATATACAGAAGAAAAATGGTCAGAAATAGTGGGAAATAAGTAAGGTTTCATGTCTCTATGCATTCCTGTTGCACAGGATTAGGCCGGGCTTGAGGCATAGTTGTAAAATGGAAAGCAAGCTATGAAAACTGCCATATTTCTGTTCCATGGTGTAGGACCAGTTCTTGAAATTAGCTGCCTGTGTTCTTCCTCCTCCTTTCCCATCTTCTCGCCCTTAAACATACTGACAGTTCAGATATGTGCTGATTTTGTTGGTTTTATTTCTTCTAGGTCCTTTGTCCGCAATGGTGACTGTACCTCTAGACTTGTTCAGGAAGCAACCTTCTGGCCAGCAAAGCTTTGAATTGAACAGCACGGCCAGTGAGAGCAGCCCAGAGCTGGGGCCCGGGCTGGGATCCATTAGTGCAGAGGTACAATTGCATTTGGATGGTTTTACAGTGGATCTTTCACTTCAGGGAGTACTTGTGAATGCTCGTCTTGTGCTTTGGACTGTCACCCACATTGCAGTGCCATTTGTGGCCAAGTTAGAGTAGTGCATTCAGATTGCAGGGTAGCATGTCACATGGTATTTGTGTCTGTCAAAAGAATTAGCTGTTCGGCTCTTAAATGTTAGTAAAAATTGTAAAGGAGTACTAGCTAGAAATGTTAGTGTCCTCCTTGCTTGACTGGGCTTCTAAGGCGACATTTTTTTGTCCTTCTAGTTCTCTTTTATAGAACCGAGTGAACTAAAGACGTGGCAAGTCTCTTCTCCAGTGCCAGCCACTAAGATAGAAAAGGATCGCACTGTGATGCCCTGTGGGACTGTGGTCACTACTGTAACTGCTGTGAAAACCAAACCTCGTCTGGAAGGGAGATCATCTCCACTGAGCACAGGTGAGCAAGTCCACTTCTTTCCATGTTCACTCTTAGGCTTATCTGTGGGGAACAGAAGTTGCAGTGGGGGGAGTGGGATATAAGGAAAGGCGCTGTTGTCCAGACTTCTTTAATGTGCTCATGGTGGGGGGGCGTTGTTTGTATTCTTCAGAATCAGGTTTTTTGTTTTCACGAAGCCTTGTTCTTACAAGAGGAGTGGTTAATACTCCGTTTAATACACACTTTAAAGCTGCATGGTAGAGAGATAATGCAGAAGAGGTTGGTTTTGGTGGATGGTTTTCCACAAGAGAAAAATGTCAGATTCTTAGAGATTTTGATGATGATGGACCATCCTATGCCTTGGTCTGTTTATAATCTCTAATAAGGATTGGTGTCATCTTGTGACAAAGTTCTTTTCAGTGTACCTCTCAGGAATAGACTTTCTGATCTTCTTGGGATAAGTATGAAAGTAAAACTTCTCAACAGTGTTTGTGTGAAGTTTCTTGAAAAGCTGCATTCTTTTAAGTTGTTAAAGCAGATCTCTTGAGTGTTATCTAGCATATTACAGTAAAGTGTTTAAAAAGAATGAACTGCTACATTTCACGGGTCTTTTAGGGTCAGGTTACCATAGAAGGGATATGCCGAGAATTTGTATTAAACAACTTTCTGAAACACTTGTGATTTGAACAGGGTTTAACATTGGTATAACAGATTTTTATTATTTTTATAATAAATATCTTGAATTGTTTAAATAACCAAAAAAACTTGGTCCTCAGATTCTCCTGTGAAAACTCCAGTTAAAGTAAAGGTGATTGAGAAGGATTTCTCTGTTCAAGCTATCCATTCTCATGGTGCTCCAGTCAGCAAAACTTTATCATCTTCAGATACAGGTAATAGAAATGTTCAAAGCTGCTAATGAGAATATGTCTCTCTCTGCTGCACATGGGATTAATGTAATCCTGTTAAAATAACAGCAAACCCATATGGCTACTGCCTTTCAACAGGCACTGAGATGTTTATGTTAGCAAGTGCTGTGGTTAGGGATATAGCAGTCTTGCAACAGAGGTCTGTTTTTAATTCGTTATTTAAATTACTAATTTTAAATAAATAACAATGAGCTGTGGTTTGGAGAGGGGAGGTAACTGCAGAAAGCCAGGCTGTCTTTTCTCTCACTTTTAAATGAAAGATTTCTCCTTTATAAAGGCGTGGGGGACATTGCACAAAATGAAAACCAAAACCCTATGAAACTTACCTCTAAGGCCATTGTGAAGTTCCCCCTCTCTGAACAGAAGGCACAAGGCCGGGTTGATGTAAGGAAGTCTGAATTTTCTTCCTAGCCCTGCCACTGGGCTTTTTTTGTGCTAATGCAAATACACAATCTTGCTGTGCCTGTTTTTCCACCTTCCTAAGTCACCTGGCATACAGCTGAAGTGCCTTCAGAGTGTCACATGGCATTGATAATAACTTTAATTATAAATTCACTCTGACTGTATTCAACCTAATTTTGAGGCATTTTACCTTTTTGAGTGGCAACTCTGAATCTTCAGCATATTTTTCAGTCCTGTGTGCAGTCATCATTCGATCTTTCTGCAGCTCTGTGTGGAACAGTAATGAAAGATGGGACCTAGTCTAGCTGCAAAGGGCACAAGACGTGGAGTACAATTTTCTTTGTACAGATTTGAGCGCAGATGGAGCAATCTGGAGATGATATAGACTGCTCCTGGAAACAGTTAGAAGGCTTGCTGAGAGGCAGAAATGTATTGGCTAAAAGACAGACATCTGGGGAAGAGCATGAACTAGTAACTGAATAGCTGTGTAATAGCACTTGAATCTTTCCCTCACTCTGGACTAAGAAGTACTCTGATACCATCAATCAGGATGGTATTACTAAGCCAGTTTGGGAAATGTTAAGATAGCGCTAGACTTCTGAATTAACTGTCATAATTGTTTATGATATTAAAGATACAAAGCACTTACTGGAAAACTCATCTGAAGACAACTTAGAGCACATTGTGTTTTTATGGGAGTGCAGGGGAATTTCTGTGAATGTTTATACAAGACAGCAGGAACAATTACTCATTAGAACAAAAGTTGAAGCCAAATTAAAGAAATATGAAGAACCACTTGGTATCGCAGTAACTTAGGTAGCAGTTATTACAAACATCATGCCAAAATAGCAACAAGAACTATGGAAAAGATGCTGTGGTCATGCCATAGTTCTAAGTGATGACAACAATACAAATTAGCAAGCGCCCCTGATGCTGTCCTGGATGCTCTCAGCTCTTCTTGGGGGCTTTGCAGTGGCAAGGGAGATGGAAAAGTAGGTGTTTATAATGAGTGGCCAGACATGCGTGGGTGTGCATACCCCTTGTGCACACATACTCTTAAGTTCCAAAAGTTATCTGACTTACCTGGTGCAGCATAACTATTCAGGCATTGTCTTTTATTGCATTAATGTCACAGGAACAAAAGACACTACTTGGTTTAATTAATTTTAGTGCTATTCCTGCCTGTATTCTTTTGCTGTTAAAATTCCTTCTAACAGAAAAGCCCACCTCAGACAATTAAATACAGGCAGTTTTGTTCTGTTAACTTTCTTAGCCTTGTTTGTTCCTTGATTAATTTAATCAGTGTGTATTTTCTGTGCCCAAAGTATTTACATACTAGATGCCAGAAATGGCCGTGCTTAAAAATACTCATGTCTGTCTTAAAGAGCATTTTATAAAGCAGGATTCTTGTTCCTGTGCAATGTTCAGGGTGGGGAAAGGGGGTGCACTTGACAGGCTTTGGAGGCAGCTGATAAAGAGCAGAGTGACTGCCACTTTGCCTTCCCCATCCTATCCTAGTGCTGTAGAGAATCTGGAAATGCTAAGCAGGGACATCTGGAAAAAGAGCAAAATAGCTACCTGGAGAAGTAGTGGCATGTGCCAGCTTTATACCAGGTTAGAACTATGGCTTTTCATGACAGTGATATCTGATGCTCTACCTGCCACTTCTGAATTACAGTCACTGCAGTGTAGCAATGCATTGAAATAACTGGAGGTTTTGTCTAGGCTTCCAGAACCTCCTGTGTGCTCAGGGCAAGGGTTTGTAAGTGCAGCTTAGGTACCTTTTCTCAAAAGAATAGGTAACAGGAAAGACAAGACCCAATAGCTGGGTGGTGAATTGGAAGATGTTTTGGTAGGCCTGGTGTTTATGCCATTTCTGCTGATTTCTTTGAATTTTAAGTCAAGAACAAACTCTGCCTCTCTTTGCTCTGTTTTTTTCCTGGTTTCTTTCCTCTGAAATAATGCTTTATTTTCAGAACTGCTGGTACTGAATGGCACCGATCCTGTTGCAGAAGCAGCCATTCGGCAGTTAAGTGAATCTGCAAAACAGAAGCTGAAGTCTCCTAGAAAGAAAAGCACCATTATCATATCTGGGGTGTCCAAGGTAGAGCAGAAAACAACACTTATATTTAATGCTTAGTACTGTGAAGTGCTCCACTGACTGTGACCTTAACATGAATTCTGCTGTCTCCCATTCAGCAGTCTTTGCAGGATCTCGGTCTGTGTACCAGTTTGTTTCAGTAACTGTTTCAAGTGAAGCCAAATCAGGGTGGGTTTGTTGGAGAAGATGTTGGTTTTTGATTGTTCAGTATGACAGCCTGACTAAAAATGCATCGTATCCTTGGATGGGAGTGGGATGATTTTGGAAAGCTGATTTAGATGAGAACAGAGGAAAATTAGTCCTTTTCCTTGCTTTGCCCATGGAGGGAAGATCCACAGAAAAAGTATGAAAGATTTTTCTATTATTTTCAAAGATGTTAAAAAGAAAAAAAAACTTTGAAAAACGTCCTAGTCCTCTGGGTTCTGTTCTAGAGGGAGGGCAAATGGAAGACTGTTTCTCAGAGGGTATATAGCATTCCTCCAGACTTTCTTCATCCACAGCCTCAGTCTCCCATCTGATGATTGGTGCCTGCCTGTAGTCCTTTTCCTTGCAGGCTGCTGTATGGACATTTGCTATCAAGTCTTGCTGTTATGCCCAGAACCCCTAAAGACCTCTAAGTGAAAGCCGAGTCAGTGAGCATGGATCCCCTCGTGATCATTGCGGTGTGCTGGGGGGCTGGAATGAGGATCAGCTTCCACAGTGACGGATGTATCTGCTTGGGAAATGGGGGCACTGGGACTGCATGGATTTGTTTTAGCTGATATAAATGCCAAGAAGTCCTTCTACAAGATGAAACACTTTGATGTTTATTTTCTTAAAAAGACCAAAGGATTATTGTCTACACATGCTGGTACTTCATTACAGCAGCACATGCAGGAAAGAGTCCCATCATTAGCAGTGGGGCCAGGGACAGGTGGGAGGCATGTACTTAAATATTTTTTTTCCAGTCATTTGGCATTAACTTTTATTAAAACTTGGCTACACGCTCCTCTCCTTTAGTGGACCTAAGGAAGCCTCACAGTGGCTTTCTGATAGCCCTGAGCAATACAATTAAAAGTGTAAAGAAGAAAAAAGAACTTTTGCAGAGAGGTTTGTTTTTTTTCCAGCAGAGCAGCTAGTGTTACTGATGTCTCTTATTTTCGCTGGGCAGACCTCTTTATCTCAGGACAGTGAAACTGCACTGATGATGGACTATGCTGCAGCCATGGACAGCTCCTGCAAAGAAGTAGATCCACCACCCGTGGAGGAAGCTGCTGCAAAAGTCACCTCTGAAAAGCTATCATTAGATGCTTCAGAAGTAGTTCCTGATACTGACCCACAGCAAAGTGCCTATAAGGCTTGGGGTTTGGAGAATGGCAGCCAACCGTGGGACACTAGCACACTTTTAGACCAGACCTGTGAAGAAATGTCTGGGAGCTCATTAAGTGTTTCAGAAACTGGGAGCATGAAAAAATCTAAAGGTATGTGATCCTTACCTCTCCTTCAGGGAATGAGTGCTTTCTTCATGTAATTGGCCATGTCATGCAACACTGTAGTAGTTCATGCTTTCTTACTGGTTTTTGTCCTTAAACTCCTTGTGATTATGGTGTTGGTTGAAGCTGTCTTACTAGCAGCAAAAGAGTGCAGTCCTCTGGCTCTCTGAGCCAGGTCAGGCTCTCTTACACTCCCCTCCATCATGAAACAGAGGGCTCACCCTTAGAAGCTGAAGAGCAGCTCACTAAGCCCAACTCAGTTATCCGGAAGAGAAATAACTAGACACATTGTCAATTCTTTAATGAAAACTGTGTTCTTGTGAACAAGGACTTGTCCTACATTAGCAGCCCCATTACTGATGTGAAAACTGCAGGGTTCCACAGTTGCTTTCCAACAGATACATTATTTCTCCTCCTTCACATCTCCGAGCATAAGACTCTCCTGTCCTCGCCTGTGTTCAGGAAGTACCAGAGCTAAACAAGAAGTGCAGTCTCTCTTAACTGCCTTGTGAACAGTTTCTCCCTTTTCACTGATTTCATTAGTACAAAGTTTGGTGAAGAAAATAGAATAAAAGATAATTTGATAAGTAAATAAGGGGTCAGATCATTTTGCTTATGTAGTTACACAGCTGGACAGCTGCAGTTTGATAAATGCCTTAGGAGTCTTTGTGTATCCTTTATAAATCCATTAACCTCTGAGGCTGTAGCACTGGTTTGTGGCTAAGTAGTAAACACAGGGGCTGTTAGGAAGTGTGACACAAGAGCCAGTGCAGTGGACTGTGCTCTGAACAGGCAGCACACCAGTCTCATGGGCTACATGTTGGAGTTGCAAAAATTTGTTTCTCACCCATATCCATCCCTCTTTCACTTTATTATTTTCTATTCTTGCCTTACCCAGAGAGACTGTAAAAGGGCTTACTACAAAACCTCAGTATATTACTAGATTATTGTAATTCTCCCCGACAAGAGGCATACACTGGACCTCTTTCCCAAGGCTCTCCCTTAGAGTATTGAGGTTTTCTTGCCTTCTCACAGCTTTATTGCTCCACCTGATAGATCAGGATGGTACAGCAACAACCAATTTGACATGGATAGTCAGGCACTAGGAAGTTTTGGGTGTGTTTGGCATGAGGGCAGGGGGTTAGTTGTGAAGGGATTTGTGTCATTTGAAGCCTGGAAAAGTTTAGGAAGCTGAATGAAATTTTGAAAAACCTCTGGACTCTTCTTTAACATGTTACTCTACAGCAAGCAAGTGGAAGTTTGTATGTGAGCTGTTGTCTAGTTTTGGTTTTCCCTGTGCAGTATGTGAGATCAGGCTGCTCAAGATCCTGTTTACACGATGTCGTATAGCACTGGTAAAAAGTGCAAAGTATTTCTAATATTTGAGAGTAATATTTGTCTCATCTTGAAAAAATATTTTAAAAAACTGTCTCATCCCTTTCTTTATACACAGATCTCTTTGTGGAAGTCTTGAATCTCTACTTTGTCACAGCTGAGTAGCTTTTATGGAGTGACATAGGAAAACATTTCAACACCCCTGCCTTCAGTTAGCTTTGAATAATTCAAGGTTTCTATTTGGTCAAATGCTTTCCCTTTTAAAAAAAATCCACTAAACCAAACACAACAACAAAAAACACAAACAAAACTCAAACAAAGCAAACAAAACCCTTTCTGCTTTAAAAAGCCTCCTGTATGTATTAATGTCTTAAAGTTAACAGTCTTTTTTTTGACACTTGTGTATGTTTGGTTTTTTACCTTTCTGACTTCCTCTTTCTTGCCCATTCCCTTTTATAAACTTAAGAGGACTACTATGCCAACCAGAATTAATTACCTACACAGTAAGTTATTTTTGTCTTTATTTTTTAAGAAAATGTAGCTTTACAATGGTACACTCATTGTAAAAACTGAAGCAAAACATAGTTTGGCACCCATTTACTTCTTCCCCCATCCATTTCTTTCCTCCCTCCAAAATTACCTTCCTGTGGTCAGGTGTCTTAGCAGACTAGTTTGCTGTAAGAAATCACTCTTCTGATGGTCGTGCTGTCCAGGTGGGTCATGCAGAATGGGACAGCAAGGAAGGCTTGAAGGGGTGCTCTGCATTGCTGATCTCTCTCCATCATACTAATTCCTGTAGTATCTGATTATCAATCAAAATCTGCTCATGCAAACTATGTGCGACCCCATAACTGGATGTGCATATGCAGAAAGCTTATTTTAAAACCTGCTGCTTACGGTTTTCTAGTTCTCTTTTCTAGCCTAACTTGTAGAACTACCAGGACCTCAGCAGGTATTTACAAAACCACCTGGATAAAAACTGTTTTGGAAGTTGGGAAGGAATGGAAAGAAGCGATCTCTATTCATATCCCAGTAGATGTGGAAGGAAATCTTCCTTCATTAACAAAAATGAGATTCAGAAGTGATCCCAGCCCCACAAGCATTTTCAGAATTCCCTACA